TCAGCACCGCAGTCAAAAAGACGTAAAACAAACAAAAAACTTTAATGTTGTGTGTTTGATTCAAGTTGAATACAAAATTTAATGTTGTAAATTAGTGTACTGTATTATACTTACTTTCCACGTTTGTTCACTGTTAGGTAATGGCGGGCTACTTTAAATCCACTTTTGGTTTTGTGTTACTATTTTATCTGGAGTGGTTTTGAGAGTTTTTATATTGGAATTGACCCCAAACTGCTTTTGGTGCGTTTAACCGACACTTACTTCAGAAGATTGTGTGTATAATTCAACCATTTTAGTTCATATCTCTTTTCACCAAGACCAAAGCGTTTGTAGAAACATTGAAAGAACCAATTCGCAAAGACCTTCAACAGCAAAACACAATGAAAAGTTTTAGTTCAATTGGAATACAACATAGCTTGCCGAGCTATAGGTGGCGGAAAGAAATAATATATCGCCAGTACGATTTTGTTTTAACCAACACAACTTACACATAAGGATCATTAAGTATAAAAATTATACATAGGGATCATTAGGTATAAAAATTATACATAGGGATCATTAGGTATAAATATTTTACATAGGGATCATTAGGTATAAATATTTTACATAGGGATCATTAGGTATAAATATTTTACATAGGGATCATTTGCTATGAAAATTATACATAGGGATCATTAGGTATAAATATTTACGTAGGGATCATTAGGTATAATCTATACCCAATGATCCCTGTAGGGATCACCCCCCCCCCCCCCCCGATCCCAGTGTCGTATATCTATACTAATCATGTTATTGCTGCTCCATAGACCTTAAAAGGCAGTCGGATCACTCGGGGTTGCGCCCTGATACATCCGAGAAGTCTTGTCTTAATTTAGTTTTTAACTCTACAAAAAATTCTTGTGAAAATAATTATTACATTTTCAAATTGCCAAATTTTTTCAAATTGTGTACAAAACTTGATTCAGAAAAAACTAGATTAAAAATTTTTTGTTAAAAACAACGTTGACTACGAATATTTTATGTTTTTTAAAGCTTTGGAACCATTAAGCAAGTCAAACAGTAACAGTTTGCGTTAATTCGATTTGGAACGGCTTAAGATCCGGATTGAAGTGTCGCTCTGCGTTAATATTTCATAATTTAAACTTAGACATAATTATTACTTTCACGTATTTTCGACTGGTTTCTATGGCAGTTGCTTTTACTTTGGCTGATTTTGATGCGATTCCAAGGGCAGTAAGATGTTATATAGTAGCTTGTAGGGCATTAAGTTGTTATAAAGCCGTTTCATCGTCGATTTGGATGAACTCCAAACATCAAAATCAAAAGGCGTTGAGAAATTAGACGACATTGAAATTAGACGAAGCACTTAACAAGAAATAACACGTTTTTGAAAAACTGCAATTGTAGGAAAAAAGAAAAAAGTGAGAAAGATAACAATTGTTTGCAGACAAATTGCGTGAGAAAAATAAAACTGTTTGCAGTCAACAGTTAAGTTTCGGTAACCAAAAATATAAAAATTTCAGAAAAAATCCATCGAAATTTTTCATGTCAATTATGTATAGTTTATTCAATTCAAATTTCTCCTGTAATATTCGAATTTAACATTTTATGTTCAATTAAATTAATTTTGTTTTGATAGGTATTGTCATTTTTTGTTCTTTTTGTATTTGCGAAACTTGACTCTTAAGAAAACAATAATGTTTGCCCTTTGGTCTAAAACGCCAAAAAATTTTCTAATGTTTTTGTAGCATCCGTCTAATTTGCTTATCGTCTAATTTCCTGGGCCCCAAGCAAAGGTCTCGGTTCAAGAAAACAAACTATTTAATTTTTTTAATAATCAGTGCTAGATTTTCCATGCAAAGTTACGGCAAAGTAAAGTGGATAAGGAAAAGTTATACTCCGAAATTCAATGTTCGGAGATGGTTTATTGTTTCACTTTCCCGGGTGTTTTTGTGCGAGAATTTTTCACTAAATTAGCCTTTTTGGCGGAGTTTTTCATGGTCCTCTACAAAAGTTTGATGTTCTGATCTCAAGTTTAAGCCAGCCGAAAATTTTTGCAAGTTATGAACGATTGAGAAATAGCTTCAATTTTGGTCAAATTTGAATAATTAAACCCGCTATATACTTTGCGCAATCAAGGCGTAAACAGCAATTTATTTGGGCTCAAAAACTGTTGTTAATTGGGCTCAAAATTCCGTCAAAAATGGCTTGTTAAAAAGTCGAAATTTGTCTGAAGATAAAAAAACCCATCCGGACTCAAATATTCCGTTACTTTCGTATCGAAAGTCGGAGCAATAACTAGTATTTCAAGTAGCGTGTATGAGATGGTTTAAAAACAAAAATGGGACCGAATTTTTACCAGACCGACCTTTTACCACAAAAGTTATAACATGGATCTCTTACAGACTTAATAAACGCGTTTTATTGACAGATGTAATGACGCCTATTATTCTGGTTAAAGACAATGACTTCACGGTTTCTCAGCCAAGTTTTGTTTGTTGTAACTGCTTTATTTTCAAATTTTCCACTTGTTTAAACTTATCTTAACTGATTTATTGCATTGTGGTCTGGTAAAAGGTCGGTCTGGTAAAAAACCGGTCTGATAAAAGACCTTTCCCCTTTATTAATATGTCCATTTTATCAAACTTTTTGAAGTCAAACACTTCTCCATAGACGATAAAGGACAGTCAGAGCATTCTTTATGCAAGCAGTCCTGTTCAATTTTTCTTGTGCATTCTGAAATAAGAAATGTTTAAGCATCCACAACCTGAATCCAATGAAATGAAAGTGAGTACATGATATTCTAGTCTTATCTGTCTTTAGGACCAATTTTGAGAACAATGCAGTTTAAGCATGTTGAAAAACGCCGGAATGCGGTCGTTTTTGCTGTAAGTCAGTCGTCTATTTGTTTGCATGTTCAATATTTCTTTTTCTGTACGATGATGCATTTGCGGTGTTCCATAAATTATTCAAACTGCGAAGGCTGAAAAAATATATCATTCGTTACCAGCCGAAATCGTTACCAGACGACCAAATTTTGAAATTTTTGAAAAGCACCATTGGTTTCAAGCAGGCGCGTATCTAGGAATTTCTCGAGCACTCGATTTTGAAAATTTTGACAACTTTTTTTTGGTCGACCAAATTGGTTTTCTGAGCTCTCCGTTTTTAGGCACTTTTTGGAAATTTTCGACCAAAAAATTGCGTTTTTTCGGCGCACGCTCCCCCTCAAAGTTAGTATAGATTCGCGCCGTCAAATTAGATTCCTTATAGGGGGTTTGGGAGAGCTCAGAAAATCAATTTGGTCGACCTAAAAAAAAGGTCAACAAAATGTTCAAAATTTTTTTGAAAATCGAAAAACCGCTCCACCCCCCCCCCCTCCGAGAAATTCTAAGATCCGCGCCTGACTGATATACCGTTTTTTTTTTGCTGAGAAGACTAATTGTAAAGTACTGCGTGGTATACCTTTCATATTTGTGAGTGAATAATGTCAAACTCGGAGCGCAAATCCTAACTTAATTTATCACCTGGTTGATGTAATATCTAAAGGATGGCCAAGACCCTTAGTCTATAAATTCAGCTATAAATGATTTAAGCAAAACTATATAAAAACAAAACACAGATGTTATCCATGAGCTTTATTTTATAAGTGCATACAGGGGCGGATCTAGGATTTTCTCGAGGGGGGGGGGCGGATTTTAACATTCGAAAATTTTGACGACCTTTTTTTTTTTAGATCGACCAAATTGATTTTTCGAGCTCTCCCAAAGCAGTCAAAAAAGCCGTTTTTGGGCACTTTTTGAAAAATTTTGACAAAAAAATCGCGTTTTATTTGGCGCGCGCTCCCCCTCAAAGTTAGTATATATTGGCACCCAAGGCGCCTTTAGAAAAATTTTAGGGTCGGTCGGGCAAAAATGGATTTCTGAAAAAGTATCAAAGGGGGGACCCTTTGGGTCGGCAGGGGGTCGAATCCCCGAGGGGGGGGGGGGGGCGTCCGCCCCCCACCGCCCCCCCCCCCTAAATCCGCCCCTGAGTGCATACATATAAAACAATTTCAACAAGATCCTGTGAATTTGATCACTGTGTCTATAATTCTGTCTTTTTGGCGTAGATTTATCTACCCGGTGCACAACTTTTGATTAAGAACTTCGGCATTTTTCCGGTGATCCTTAATTTTTTGAGAGCAGGCACAGAAGCGTTTTGAAATACCTGGTACAACAATTTTTTTGAAAATCTCAGCTCATAACCCAAGTTAACTTTTGATAACTTAATTTTGCACTAGTAAAATTAGTTTTTGAAAGTCCTTTTATAAAATTATTTTATAAAAAAATTACGCCCTTCTGTATATAAAATTAGAAAAATAATAAAACACTTTTTAGAAATTCAAAAATTGGTTCAATTTTTTTCTTTTTAAATTATGAGGTAAAATGTTGCCAAATGTAGCTAAGCAACTAGTATTATTGAAGTCTTAGGGTTTGGTTGAGCTCCTTTCATCCCACCTTAGCAAAAGTTTACGCAGTATGGAAAAAAAAGAAACTGTTTGTTATCGAAGTCGGGGCTTTTTTGCTACTTGCACATAAACGGCTACCCTTGTGATGATTTCGTTTTCTTTTAAGTTTATTTACTTGATTGAGGGGACGCAACATTTAATAACCATGATAAGTATAAAACTTAACACCTAAACGATAAATCGGTTTACGATGGTACTGACTAACTTTCGGAAGATTATGGCTGAGATGGTTCTGTCTGAACAATTCTAGTCAGTTTGAATGAAAATATGTGGGAAGTTTGTTTCTGAATTTGTCTGGCTGGACCAGCACATAGCCTCTGTGGGGATAAATTGACGAAAAAAAAAGAAAAAAAATATTTTGGTTATTTTATCAATTTTTTAACCAAAAACATTTTTATTGGTCTTAAAGTGCAGTTGGAACATGCAGAGCTTCGCCCTGATATACGAGCAGTCTTGTAAGACAATTAAATTTGATTATTCTTTGTGGCTTAAGGAAGCAAAGGGCGTTGCAACGACGGCTGGCGGGGATGTTCGAAGGGTGTACCCGACTCCTTTGAAGGGATTGCACCCCAACCTGCAGGACAGAGCCACTGAGTTGGCAGTGTCCCCTCGCACAGCTAATGCTCTTCGCAATTGCGAGAGGAACCTCATGCGCACCTCCTACAACACACACTACACTGGTAGGCTTAGGGTTTATCAGTTAAACAGGCAGCCACCACACCATTTCATAAATAAGGGTTGTATCACCAGTCAGACTCGAACTTGAAAAACAAACTGACTCAATGGACTCAGTTGACTGGCATGCTACTGATTATGCCATTCAAAACTTCTCTAATGCGTTTACATTGATAAATAGGGCTACACGGCTGAGCTCGCAAAATGGAAGTTTTCAAATAGTTCTCGTACTGCATAAAATACTTATAATGAGATGGTATAGTGTCGGGCATTTAGGGTATGGGAACATGAATGCACTGAAGTTGGACAACTGGGAACAGTTCAAGGACCTCTACGCGCGCAACAGACACCAGACATCTGTGCCACTAGTGAGTCACACATCATTATCCATCTTTCACCGCAATGTCCAGACTTTTGCGACCAAATTTTGGCATGAACTGACTTTCGCGACCCCATCTTAGTATTTTGAGACTTTCGCAGCTAAAGAGATCCACCGCGACGGATCATGCAATGGCGAAACAGACGCGACACCAAAGCTCGCCATTTCCATTTGTTTGCGAACCAACAGATTGGTCGCGATTTTTGCGTCAGAAAACGGCAGGCAGGACTGGTGCGACTGGCGCGACCCGACATACAGCGGCGCAATCAAACTCAGCCATCTTCAGACTTTCGCAACCGAAAAAGTCGGTTGCGGATTTTGCGTCCAAGATGAAAAAGCGCGATCGGAGCGACTCAGAAAGCGGTGCGGTCGACGCAATACGACATGTAACGGCTCGGTTCGCGCAATCAAACTATGCATTTACCAGATTTTCGCAACCGATAATATCCGTCGCTATTTTTGCCACTGTGGTAGAGCAAACATAAAACCCGACAAAATTTGTAATTCCTAATTTCTTTTCAAAAATTGCGCCGTGTCCGCTTACAGAATCCGTGCCCAGAATTCACGGTGACACCAAGAGTTCAAGTCACAAATCGCCTTTGAACTAAAATCGCACTGCATCAGGGTTCAGACCCAAATAGCATAGTTGCGCTGGTGTTGAGTCTGAAGAAGCGGCGAAAGTCGCGCCGTAGGTAGACCCAAGGTGTGTAGTCGAGCCAAAAGTCGAAACTTTCAGTTTGGAAAGTCTTTCGCGACTGATTTCTGGCTTTTGCGATTAAAAATATCAGTCGCGACTATGTAATAGTCCACTTTTGTAAACAAGATGGAGAGGGCTTGTATGTCAAGACTTTCGCAACCCATAGCGCGACTTTCAGTTGAACATGCCGACTGTGAGAAAAAACAGCAATTCAACATAGTCTTAACTCATTCCGATATTCGAGTAATTTAGTAGTGTGTAAGTCTGTGCTGTTGTTTTAGTCTGCTAGGAGTGAGCCCACTTTCATCCCCCCTCGACCCCTGGAGGGTAGGGTGGCAAAACTGCTGTGGCAGCGGGGATCCCTCAATCAGCCAGAAATGAAACATTACACACAACACTGCGACGTCATAGATGCTAATAAAGATGCAAGTGCTAAGAACTTGATGATTTAACCTTTTTCTGCAAATCAACGTCCAATCTTATGTGTTAAATATTTAAACAATTTTGAAAGCATGCATACACGGATTATGACACAGACCAAGGCATCCATTTTTTGAACGTTCAGGTTAATGAAAAAATGTTGATCTTTTAAAATTGGTTTTGATTTTTTTTTTGATTACCACTAACTATTATTGACTTTATAGCTGTATTGTAATGAAAAATTGTTTCATCTAATTTTGTGGAATACAGAAAGAGAAAGGGTTCAAGTTATGTAACCGTCAAGCTTTGCCCTGTTTTGTACTAGCTGGTGGATGATCACAAGGCCTACAAATCCCTGCCGGAGGGATACCAGGCGAAGCTGAAGATGATGCATGCTGAGGCACAGAAACACGCAGAGTACGCTGTGGAGAAGCTATGGGTGAGAAGGAACGCAGCTATGGCAATGTTAATGTTACATGTGAAGACAAAAACAAACAAATGTAATAAAAAGAAAAAACTGTTCAAAATACAGTTATCGTTACGTTACGACAATGGCATAAAAATGGAACCTGTCATTTGATAGGAGTGCAGTTAAGTGATGATTGGGTTGTTGAACAAACTGATAGGTGATATAAAAGCTGACTGATTGCAGGAGCGTAAGTTGACGGATGAGGAGCAGAAGGAGCTGATAGAGGAGAGAGTGAGGACGATGGAGGAGGCGGGCACTCAGAACAGACAGTTTCTCTCTAATCTGGGGGAGAGGCAGCAGCTCCAGTTGAGACAGCTGGAGGCATTCAACCTGTGGAAGAAGGCCAAACTGCTGGAGCCAAGGGACCAGATGATACAGGTGAGGAGCGTACACACTGTCAGGCCAGGGTAAAATTTACAAGGGGAGAGAAGATCTGCCGCAAGTCCCAACACATCGAAAAATCCACCAGACACCGAACAATTGCCTTATGAGTGCAACTAAAAGTGTTATTTTGCTGCATATCCATCTTTTGGTCGAGTCAATCTTGAAAGTTCCTTTGTTGGTCGCCGATTTTTCGTTTTACTTGTATAACTTATGAAATTCTAGTTTTTGCGTAGATCTGTTCAATCTACCACCACATACCCACTACTAAAATCTAGATCGATGATCAGATTCAAAATCCACTAGTTTTCCCAGAGTTAAACTTAAAATAAGGGTGTTTCAGTACCGAACACAAATGAACTACGTCATTCCGGTGGAAAGACCCAACACTTACTTCGACCACTCCAGCAAGATCATAACAGCCCGTGCTCCCTTCATATTCGAGGGCGAGAACCCTTACATAGCCGAGCCGACTAAACCGTATACATTGGCGGACGCCGATGCGAGGGAGAACGAGCAGCCCAAGAAGAAACTAAGTCTCTCTGATCCATGTCCAAACATCGAGTCGGAAGTACAGCCGCTTCAGCGAGAAGACGAACAGAGAGCCCAGTTCAAGGTCAACTCTCTCAACTTCCCCCAGTACCTGAGGGCAAAAACGGCGCCTGAGATTAATATTCCGATGGAGATGATGGGAGGCACTTTGACGAGAACTCTGGGCAGACCATATTCAATTCAGAAACTGCAGACGGTCAGAGGTCGCCTGGAGCCAAATGAGTTAAAACCGGAAGTGAGAACAACCAATAAAACTGACGGTAGGTAATATGATTCTAGGTGCATGGAAGTTTGCGCCCCGGAAGATTGTGTCTTTGTTAAAATAGGCCAAGAATTATAACTTCTGTCATAGTGATTAAACTAGTTCACAGTCCATTTCAGTTCTATTCTTCTCATTTCAATGCAATCAATCAATCTGTCTTAGTTCTGTTGCTAGGTGTTTAACCTTCGGAGTTACCTGTCACCTTTGGTTGACCTCTAACTCATTGTCTCCGAATAACTTTATGCATTGCAGTTCTCCATTATCTATCTGAAATTTACACTATCAATAAATCTTTTTTTGACAAATCACTTATTTGTAGTTGCTGAGTCATATGGCCAAATGCTTATTTTCATGAGCATATACCAAGTGCTTATTCTCATGAGCTGGTCACAAAATTTCTAATGCAATGTGGATTTTATTGGGACAAAAACATCTTGAATGTATTTTTTAGTCTTTCTGACCATTTTCTCGGGGACTTAAAAGTCTGGGAGACAAACGTCCGGACACGATTTTCCTTTTGGTGATTGTTAATATTTTGCTTTAATAATTCTTAAACACCGCTACTTTTTTAAGATTCCGATTGGAACTTTTTGAACAATAGAATCTTTGAAACGAATTGGTCCTCAACCTTACCTGTTCTTAAAAAGAGTTTTTAAGAGCAAGAAAGGGAAGGTTCTGAAAAACTTCCAATCCGTCCAATATGATTGAACGGCCTTCTCAAGATTGGATGTCCCTGTTGTAAAAGAGTTGTTGATCGAATTAAATTGCAGTGATTGTGGATGAGAAGCGGTTGGGAAAGGGGGTGAGGCCGACGTTTTACAACCACCCGGAGGAGATGGTGGTCTGCAACACGAGTGAACTGGATTCACACCACATCTACAGACACAATGACGCCATAGAACACCACACACAGCAGAGGGCACTCAGCGCCAACGCTAACTCAACTGTAAAACAAGTAAGTAATGGCTTTTAATTGAAGACAACCCTTAAACATGATCAGCAGTTAATCTATTTCAAATTTCAACAAGGCTGTTACTTTCTGGTCTGCTCTGTAAATAACAAAATAGCGGCAGATTGACAAAGTTCAGTATCTCTGTATCAAAAAACGACAAGGATAGATATTATGTGACTATCTTCAAACGGCTTGCTTCGTTGAAGTTTTTCGAACTCTCAATAAGAATGCAGTGATGTGAAAAAGCCAGCTGTTCATTAAAACACTCGCAGCCCCTCCATATAAATAAAAACAAAAATTATTCCAGGTGACCTTCAAACAGGACCTGGAGAGAGCCCCCCAGCAGCTGCAGTGCGCCGCTGACACCGAGAGACTTGGGGTGGGTGATAATGCCACTTGGCGACGGGACTACCACGCGGGAGTGAGTCAGAGCCAGTTCCACCCGATGGCCATGAATGACGACGACAAGTATATGACCGGGGCAGAGGAGAGACCCAACTATGGATTGTATGCCTCCATCCCCAAACACAACGCAAGGTCTGTCTCCCTCAAAATCATGACCCTCTTGAGAAATACTTAACTGCTGCCGTTTAATAAGCTGACCTATCTTTCACAACTTAGAGCATGAAATTCCGGATTACTTCAATATTTCATGCATAGTGTTAAAGAGGAAAACCAGACCGGCCTTCAGAATTTCAAAAAACAAAACCTACTCCATTTTTTTTCATGTCTCCTCAAATTATTCTCCTCAATTATTGATTGTTCAGTTCTTGAATAAGGTAAATATAATTGGAGTTTGATACAGAGCGGTAAAAGCAAAAAAAATTCAAACTCCATTGATCGAGACAGCTTCAACAGTTCAAATTTATACTTGTCGTTTCTGCGATTCGCAGAGGGTCTATAAAAAGATATCCAGCCTGTCCAAGCATAGTCAAATTTTCTTATTTCCCCACATTCTAGACTGAGTTATTTTGTTTAGTTGAGCTTTGTTTTTGCTACTGTTTTTGCCGTTTTTTGCGTCTAGAACTTTCACGTGGCTCCACTATTGCAGCGTTAGCCTGCCTACCCAATAGATCTTTTTTATTAAGACGTTATAATTATTTATCGCACACATCGATCGATGGCATGTATGTTTTCAGACTGCTGCAGACAAAGAATGAGTTCAACAAGTCTGCAGTGCGCAAGGAGTTTCTGGACGCATTCCCGGAAAAGGCGCCGGATTTGCGGGACCACATTAATGACGGGAAGAAACACAATTTCTTCGGATACAATGCTTACTACTTCCACTAACCTAAATCATGTCTCTTTAAAATAAAAACAACGTGCTTTCAATTCTTTTCATGAGATTACACGAACAAGAAGAAGGAATTTGAGGTGCTTATGGCTCCTCGACCTTCATTTAGTTTTGTCCATCTTTTTCAAGATCGACCAGTTTTTATTTTCCTAGCTAAAAACAGTATTGTAATGCGTCGTGCATCATCATGGGGCCAACCTTGAGGGCACGGCGAAGAGTCCTAACTTTCCTTATATTTAAAATTCATTTGACAGAAAGCATACAGTCCCTGGACTAATCTGAGAGGACCTTAAACTCCTGACACGAAGACAATTTTCGTGTCGAGGTAAAATGTATTCAAAATAATTCCTTCGAGTTGGGCCGTATAAAGATTCAATTACTTTCCAATTATTAAATCTTTTTGCGCTTGTGAACGCGGCTCGCCTCAAAATATAATTTGTTCATATTGGAATGAATAATTCTTACTTAAATAAAAATTAATTGCAGTATAGCAATCATGAGCCCGGGCTGACCTCCAACAAGAAAATTGCTTATCATACAATTCCATGCAAGCGCTCAATAAGGAAAATGCTTATCGTACAATTTTTCTTAATTGATAATTGTATAAAAGCATTTTTTTCATTGACATTTTTTTCTAAGAAAAACTTCAAATGACTTCTTTGATAAGCTAATATAAGTTTAAACCGGTTTTTATAAAATGGAAACAGATCGGTCAACAATTCTATTGTTTTTTGGATAAAAAAATGCTTATCATACAATTTCCATTTATGAAACTGGTTTTACCCGATTTTTTATAGCTATTTTTTCCTCAAATGCTTCATAATTTATTGGATAAGTCTATATAAGCTTAATTCAGTTTTTAATGAGATCAGATTACTCATTAAAATCATAATTAGTGTTTGTTATCTTATAAAAACTGTATTTCGTTGCTTTCAACCAAACCAAAAAATGTACAAGCAACTAATCAAATTGTTTCTTGCTCCGAATTTTGAAAAAAAAATTTGGAAAATATACGCTTAGGGTGTTTTTTTTTGTTCAAACCAGTTTTAAAAAAAATTGTCGAATGAGGTCATCGATTTCTCGATCTTTCGGGTTCATAGACAGGGCAAACATATTACTAATTTCTTACATCATCTGAGAATCAACACAAATTCTTGTGTGAAAATTAAAAATAAGTTATTAGACTTGAAAGGTTTTCAGATTTTCAAGTCGTGGGAAAAGTCGCATAGAGAGTGCAAATAACACCCATTTTTTTTCACTGATTTTTTTTTCTAAGAAATACTTCAAATGAGTTTTTTGATAAGTTTATAGAAATTTAAATCGGTTTTTATTTAAATCAGTCATTTTAAAAAATTCGGATCAAGCACTACTTATCGTAATATTTCCATTTATGAAAACTATAATACCCAAATTTTTTTGTATCTTTTTTTTTGCTCAAAATGACCTTAAAATTGTTTTTGGATTAGTCGAAATAAATTCAGTTCGTTCTTTAACGCGTTTTTTTTAATTTTCTTATTCCTTTTTTGTTGATTGCTTTGGGAAAGATATTGCAAAACTGTTTCAAATGCTCATTTAGAGTTTCAACTACTGCACAAGTAATTCAGATATTGCGCAAATGTATCAAGTTTGAACTCGTTTTTCAAATATGGCACGCAAACATACTGCACATGTGTTTTATAACAGCATAAAACACGTGTTCAGTGTTTCTTCCGTGCCGTATTTGAAAAACTAGTGCAATATTTGAAAGAGTAGTGCAATAGTAAAAATACTAGTGCAATTCTTTTCTTTTCAGTAGAACAATGAACTAAAACAAATTGGAAAGTAAAATTTTTGTGTTAGCATAAAAACTTTTTCACAAAAGTGTGTTTTGTTCAAATGTTTCCTATGTGTTTCATACCAGATGAGCAACAGCTTACATTGCATTTCGAAATTATTTCACATCTTGACACTAAATTTATTCTTAAGTTTCGCGATGCTTTATATATAAACAGATATACTGCATCGAGAAATTTTAAAAATCAATCGGTGGTATATAAAACTTATTACAAAACTCAAATTTTAGGATTTGTTTGCAGTCCCCTATCAAAGAGACAGTTATTTTCAAGTACAAAAGAATTCGTATCAGAAATTACCAGCTTTAAATGTTTCCAGAAAAATTCAGTACAGAGACAAAGCGGAGTTTCGCATCGCTTGCGATTCAACACAAAAATTAAAAAAAAAAGGTAATTAAAAAAATGAAAATTGTTGACGCTAGCTTTACCAAAAATTTTGTATGTCTTGATGAAAGTTTATTCTAGGCAAACACGCCATTTAAACCAGTTGATTTTTAAATGAGCAACAGAACAAAACTTACAACAAAACAAAAGCTAGAACAAAGCTATCGAAGCGGAAACAAAGCCGGTAATCTTTGAGCAGACAGAACAACAGAACAAAACTTCTGAATATGGAACAGAACAAAACTTAGCAACAGAACAAAACTTAGCAAGCTGAAAAACAAAGCCGACAATCTTGAGCAGACATCAGCCGTGCCAAAAAAATGATTTTGTACGAAAGATGTACGTCCCCAATGAAACTACAATAAGGAAAATTGCAACTACAACGAAAACTGCTCATAGCAAAAGAAAAATCCTCGATGAGGCAACTAAGCCGACAAAATTTGAGGAGAAAGTCCGAAAAAATAAATTTTACCAGGAAAAAAATCAATTTATACATACTGACAAAAACAAGGTGCTGCCGGGAATAGAAACGCAGACCTTAGGGTACAGAGGACCCACCTTTCCTCTACGCCTAGGGACAACGAACCTAGAAGTTGTAATGAATCAATAGTTCAATTTCCTACAGATTTTTAAGAACCTTTATTCAAGGGGAAATAACAAAAGATAAAGTAGATTCAAAACCAAAACAGGCAAAAACGCCTTGAAACTAAAATTTAGTTAATTACGAAGTGCAAAAATGAGACATAATTTTATTTATACCAAGTTTCAAGTTCAACATTTGGTGTCTAAAATTTCTGAAAAACGAAAGAAAATTGAGAAATGAGTTTGATTTTGTTTGGATTTTGAATAGCTACAAACGCCTTTCTACACTCTGATCCCTTTGGCACTTCGTGACATGATCGGAATAACAGTTTCAACCAACTATCTAATGTTCAAGAATCAAACTGTTTGTCTCCTGAGCCAACAGGCAGTTCAACGTTGTATAACTGACTTCAACACATGCCAAGTGCACTGATCCGAAGACTTCCATGTGCTGCAGACTGTAGACTAAGGATTTTGGCCTAAATGTTTTTCCGATTTCCCATAAACTGCAGAAGTCAGTTTACCTACACCGCACAAAAGTTTTCCAATTAAACAGAAAACTCCGCTCAACCTAGGCTCAGGTATTTTATTTGACAGTTTTTGGGAGTCAAATTGAAGTTTTTTTTTCCCTTTCACACTAGAAAAAGGATTGAGTATGAAAAAATAATTTTGTGATGATTGGCTACATTTTAAGAAGCCAAATATAGGATTTTCGAATTTCCTCGAAACAGTCGCGATCGTTAAATGTTAAGCGCGACTGATGTAAAAAAACGTAAGCCTAATCAAACAACCAAGCTTTGCCCAAAACACAAAGACGAAAACCAATTGTACATGGTGACTGCAGAAACTGAACAGTGGTCTTAATAAAATCTTTGAACACTTTTTTTACAATAAACCAATTTCAGTTATTTGATCACCCAGATATGAACAAAAAAGCTTTTTATCAAGAATTTGAGATCAGTAACAAAAGTATAGCCAGCATGCAGTTTAAACAGCTCAATAACTTCATGAAAACAAAACAATATATTTTTACTGTTTTCACTTTTTTCATTGAACCTTTGTAACAACTCAAACAAAACAACGTAAACAAAATTATAACAGCTACCGCTGCTGAAAAGCAAGTCTCCGTGTCCTTTTACACTTCCAGCCCCTGATGACAAAAATATTTGAAAGATTCGTTCGGAAAAAACTTCATCCAATTTTTTAATTTCATTTGCCGCATTCGCATTCATAGAACGAAACGCTACTTTTCCCTACAAACTGTTGGTCACTCTTCTCGAAAAAGGGAAAAATTACAGAATTGTAATATCCTTGATTGTACATTACATTAAGTTCATACGCATAACCTGCAATGATACTAAAAATTGCTAGTATCAGGGCAACGCCCTGAATGTTCCGACTGTCCATAAACTGGTCTCGAATAGTTTTTGGTTAAAGGAACATTGACAAACTATGAATTTTAAGACCAATTATCCTGCCTCAGTTGAATTTGGAACGAATTTGTGGTGCGGGATAGTTCGCCGGGGACCGGCCTGTTAGCATGTGTGCTGATTAGCATGCCCATGTAAAAGAATGCAGTTTGATGATTCGTTTTTTCAAGTTTTGTTTATTCAAATTTGCGAAAGTTAGATTTTTAAATCCTTAACAAACCCAGGGATTTTCGAAACTATTTGAAAATTTAGGCCAATTTGTTTTTCATCTGAATTCACACAATCAATACAGTTATCGCATGCTAATAGGTACAAATGCTTATCACTACACTCCCTAATTGGACACGCGTAAACACTGCGCGTTAACCTTTCGGCATCAAAGTATCACAGCGCTCTTATAGTCATATTAGGCTATTAGTGAGCTTTTCTGGAAATCTTTTAGCCAGGATAGTCTGGAGGTGCGTGCGACCATTCTGGCACTACGAAGATTGATGAATCAATCCCCCGAGAGAAATAGTTTTGAGAACTGGTCTGCATAAAAAAACCACCCCGAGCTTAAATATTTCTTATTTTCTTCAAAAAACGGAACAAAAAAAATTGTCCAACTTCTATTGGCAAAAGTCAACACTCCTTATAACTCACATAGGTAACTTTCACATCCGCAGGGAACTCTTAAAAGCAAAATACATTTTCGTTACAAAGCAAAACCACTGCTTTGCGTCCGAAGTACTGTTTTTTGCTTGACGGCGTAATTTGTCTTACAATTGTTGTATGACTACGAAAATGAATATATTAGGAAATGAAAATTAG